CTGTTCTCAACATTGAATATATTGTCAAGAAAATTCGGCCTCAGTGCAACTGCGATGAGGCACGCAATGAAAACAAAGTCTGCAGTCCTTTGTCAAACTTCAACTTTTAATAACTGACCAGTTATGAAGAAGGGCCTTTGGAATTTGTGCATGTGTATATTGAACTCTGTATTGTATTTATTTAATGGCATTGTATGCTTTGAATTTCCGTAATGCTATGTGCCCATAACCCTTCTCAATAAAGTTCGGCCTCAGTGCAACTGCAATGAAGCACACAATGAAAACAAAGTGCGCAGTCCTTTGTCAACTTCAAATCCTTGAAGTGGTACTTTTATTTAGTTACATTCTAAAAGCTACAGAAAAATAATAAATATAACTTTGTACAGGAGAAATCACACACGCGTCTTCCTCCTTCCCCGGCATGGCTGGAAGAGAACGCCCAGAAGTCTGTTATCTCAAATCCACATCATTGGAATGTGTGACGTATACAGGAAAAGCTCACTCTCTAGGCAGTGAATCACTCTATGCCTTTAACTCTTGCATAGCATTACGTCTTACACCGGACACCCAGTTTAAAAACTATAAACTCAAGAATGGGAAACATAATGTTGGGGGACAGGAAAAGAGATTTAAAGCTAACCTTAAAAACTGTGGCATCAACACCGAGAACTCGGAAGGTCCTGGCCCTTGAGCACTCTAACTGGAGGTCAGCTGTGACCAGCAGTGCTGCAGAATTGAAAGAGGCACAAATGGAGGGCAAAAGGGAGATACGTGCCAAGAGGAAGGAGCATCATCAAATAGGAAAACATGCGGTTCAATATTAGGGCTCTACAGCCACTGTTGCACACCAAGGCTGGGGTGGGCATCTTTGAACCCATATTTATTTATTTACCTCATTTGTATGCCGCCTTTCTCAATCAGAGGCGACTCACACCAATGTTCTTTATAGCAAAGCAGTTTATTAAGGATTAATATAGCAACAGCCAAAAAAGGTAAAAAGCACTCAAACAAATAATAAAGAAATGTCCACAAAACAGTCAGTTGAGCAAAGTAAAATAAGACGGTCAATTATCAGTCAGGAACCAGGAGGGTCGCAATAATCCAATCAACAAGTCCGCAGGAGATAGAGTCTTTCAGTTCCAAAAGGTTGCAAAGACCAAAGTCCCTTGAAGAAACAGCAGCAAACTTGAACTATTAAATCCCAATGCAGGAGCTTGAAACCAGGGCCAACCACATACAGGAATCTCAGCATGAACATCAATCCCGGGCAGAAGTAAACAGGAAACATTAGCATGAACAAGAAGGCACGGATACCAGGCATGAAACAAAAGGCATGGTTACACATGAAAAACAAACATTGAACTCACTGAAGAGTAGATTCACAGGCCCTATATTTATTCAGAAAGCCATAGCAAAAGCACTCCGTTTCCCTTGGGAAACCTCTCCCTGACCCCCTTTTTTCTCTTCATCTTTCAGATCGTCTTCTCCCCCCCTTCCAGGTGGCAATGTTGATTTGACTTTTCCCATCAAAGAGTGTCTGGTCCTCCCTCGGCTTGTCAATTAGTACATTCCTTTCACTATCACTATGCTTTCCTCAGCACACATCACAAAACCAACACACTCGTCCCTCCACACCCCAACCACCACCACACAGCCCCCAATGCAACATCAATGCGAAACCACAGAGTTCTATATAGTTACAGTTCTAGGATAAAAGCTATATTTCATGTCAATTGTCTCTATATTATTATCCATACATAAGTAAAAATGTAATGTTTGGGTTGTTGTAGGTTTTTTCGGGCTGTATGGCCATGTTCTAGAGGCATTCTCTCCTGACGTTTCGCCTGCATCTATGGCAAGCATCCTCAGAGGTAGTGAGGTCTGTTGGAAACTAGGAAAATGGGTTTATATATCTGTGGAATAATGTCCAGGGTGAGACAAAGAACTCTTCTCAGTTGGAGCTAGGTGTGAATGTTTCAACTGGCCACCTTAATTAGCATTTGATGGCCTGGCAGTTGTTTGGTGTGGCTTGTTAGTGCTTATGACCCCGAGTCCTTGATGGAGTACTTCCTCCTTCTTCTGCACACTGCTGGAAGGTTTTATGGCATCATAAAGTAGTTTATCTATTTATTTACGACACTGATATGCTGCCCTTCTCACCCCAAAGGGGACTCAGAGCGGCTGACAAGATAGATAGATAGACAGACAGACATACGCACATGCACGGCCAGGCCATCAAATGCTAATCAAGGTGGTCAGTTGAAACAATCACACCTAGCTCCAGCAGACAAGAGTCCTTTGTCCCACCCTGGTCATTCCACAGATAGATAAACCCATTTTCCCAGTTCCAACAGACCTCAGTAGATGCAGGCGAAACGTCAGGAGAAATGCCTCTAGAACATGGCCATACAGCCCGAAAAAACCTGCAACAACCCAGTGATTCCGGCCATGAAAGCCTTCGACAATACAATGTAATGTTTGTTTGTGGGATTAACAGAACTCAAAAACCACTTGACGAACTGACACCAAATTTGGACACAAGACACCAACTAAAGCAATGTATGTCCTTCATTCAAAAATAAATTTTAAAAAAATTAACCGGAAAAAACTTTAAACCCCAAAAACCTAAATGACTATCCAGAGCATACGTTAAAAGAACACCCTCCGCCGCCCCTCCCTTTGCACACTGCACTTACCTTATTTGTAGTGCAAACAACACTTTAAATCAATACAACAATTAAAATGAAGAACAGTTTTAACAAATATAAACTTCTTAGTGTTTCAGTGGGAAGTGTGGGCCTGCTTTTGGCTGATGAGATAGGATTGTTGTTGTTGTTGTGTGTTTTCAAGTCATTTCAGACTTGAAATGGGCCGGGTAAATTACCTTGGAGGGATGTATCCGGCCCCGAGCCTTAGTTTGAGGACCCCTGGTTTAGAGGGTAAAGATGATATAGAATGGAATTATAGAGTAACTTTATTGTCATTGTACATGGCAAAACCAAATTCAATGCTTTCCTCAGCACACATCACAAAACCAACACACCCGTCCCTCCACACCCCAACCACCACCACACAGCCCCCAATGCAACATCAATGCAAAACCACGGAGTTCTGTATACTTACAGCTCTAGGAGAAAAGCTATATCTCATGTCAAATGTCTCTCTATATTACTAACTAAATAAAGAATATAAATGTAATGTTCATTTGTGGGATTAACAGAACTCAAAAACCACTGGACGAATTGACACCAAATTTGGACACAAGACACCAACTAAAGCAATGTATGTCCTTCATTCAAAAAAATTAAAATAATTAACTGGAAAGAACTTTAAACCACAAAAACCTAAATGACTATACAAAGCATGTGTTAAAGGAACACCCTCCCCCGCCCCTCCCTCCTGAACCCAGGGAGATAAACAAGAGCTGAGAGAGAGGCAACATGAGAGAGGGAGGGAAAGGTGGCCGGTATATCCCTCTTGCTACCCCCTGCCTCTCTCTTCCCAAAGGATTCAGAGAGAGGGAGGGAGGGGGAGAGAGAGAGAGGACACCCTCCTCCGGGTCCACCCCCTCCCTTCCTTTCCTTTCCTTTGCCACTTCCGTTGTGTTTGGATAGCTTAGAAACCAGCTCTTCCTCTTTTCGTTCTTTCCCATTGCTCCAAAATGGGGCATAGCAACACGTGGCTGGGTCAAGCTAGTATTATATGATATAGTATTATATTGAATATCTTATATGAGGTTGTTTAACATCTGGTTTGCTAGTTCAACTAAATTACTGTGTCACAAAAGGATGCATGTCTAAAAAGTGTTTCACCAACATGAAAAGTCTAGAAAGTTCTATCTGGGAAACTCTCTTTGGTGTCAAACACCACTGTTCTCTCCAGTGTGGATTCTATGTCTATGTAGATTTCGACTCTCAGAGAAGCTTTTTCCACACACTATGTGTTTATAGGGTTTCTCCCCAGTGTGAGTCCTTTGATGTGAACGTAGACCTGAACTATGAATGAAGCTCTTTCCACACTCCAAGCATGTATGTTGCTCCCAAGTGTGAGTCCTTTGATGTCTATGCAGATTTCCATTCTCAGATAATATTTTTCCACACACTGCATTTATAGGGTTTCTCCCAGTGTAAGTCCTTTGATGTGAACGTAAACAATGGGTAAAGCTCTGTCATCACTCATGGCATTTATAGGATTTTCCCTCAGTGTGAATCCTGAACTCTCAGTACAGCTCTTTCCTCACTCCAGGCATGTATAGGGTTTCTCCCCAGTGTGAATCCTTTGATGTGAACGTAGATTTGAACTGTCACTGAAGCTCTTTCCACACTCCAGGCACGTATAGGGTTTCTCCCCAGTGTGAATCCTTTGATGTGTACGTAGACTTCCACTCTCAGCGAAACTCTTTCCACACTCCGGGCATGTATAGGGTTTCTCCCCAGTGTGAATCCTTCTATGTTTTTCTAGATCAGAAGACCTAAGGAAGCTCTTCTCACACTCCAGGCATGTATAGGGTTTTTCCCCAGTGTGAATCCTTTGATGTGTACGTAGACTTCCACTCATAGTGAAGCTCTTCCCACACTCCAGGCATGTATAGGGTTTCTCACCAGTGTGAGTCCTTTGATGTGAATGTAGATTTCCAATCCGAGAGAAGCTCTTTCCACACTCCAGGCATGTATAGGGTTTCTCCCCCTTGTGAATCCATTGATGTGAATGTAGATGTGAACTCTGAGAGAAGCTCTTTCCACACTCCAGGCATGTATAGGGTTTCTCCCCAGTGTGAATCCTTTGATGTGAACGTAGACTTGTACCACTACTGAAGCTCTGCCCACACTCCAGGCATGTATAGGGCTTTTCCCCCGTGTGAATCGTTTGATGTTTATGTAGATCTGAACTCTCAGAGAAGCCCTTTCCACACTCCAGGCATGTATAGGGTTTTTCCCCTGTGTGACTCCTTTGATGTGCAAGTAGATTTGAACTCTGAGTGAAGCTCTTTCCACACTCCAGACATTTATAGGGTTTCTCCCCAGTGTGAATCCTTTGATGTTTATGTAGAGTTGAACTATGAGTGAAGCTCTGCCCACACTCCAGGCATGTATAGGGTTTCTCCCCCGTGTGAATCCTTCGATGTGAATGTAGATTTCCACTCCTAGTGAAGCTCTGCCCACACTCCAGGCATGTATAGGGCTTTTCCCCTGTGTGAATCCTTTGATGTCTATGTAGTTCTGAACTCTCAGAGAAGCTCTGCCCACACTCCAGGCATGTATAGGGTTTCTCCCCAGTGTGAGTCCTTTGATGTCGTTTCAGATGATTCCTCTGAGTGAAACTCTTCCCACATTCCAGGCATATAAATGCTTTCTCCTTCATGTCAGCCATGATATGGGTGTGTGATTGCAATACAGATGCTTCAGTAATCTTTTCTCCTTCCTTATCTGTTTGTGAGGTCAAGATTTCAGCAAGATCCTCACCTAGAGAGATGTTCTTCTTCCTATATTATTGATTTCATTGCTGCATCCAAGGGGTGGCTCCACAGAATCCTCATTTCCCTGGTTAAGGAAGAAGCAAAAGATCAAGATGAAGGTGAGAAGCTTTCTTTACCTCCATGATTTCCCCCTTTCCCTTCATGGGTCATGTTGAAAATGGAAATAGCCAGGACATCAGAGTACATTCTGGGTAGACAATGAAGCAAGTGGTGTGTCTCTGTCCCTGTGGAATAATGTCCAGGGTCGGAGAAAGAACTCTTGTCTGCTTGAAGCAGGTATGAATGGCCCAGCATTTCTGCGTTTTCAGAAAAGATTCTGTGTCCAGCACTCAGAAACAGGAGAACTCCAGACAGCAAGCAATCAGGTGCCAATTAACACCACCTAAAAAGAGGGTGCCTGCAGGAAACAGAGGCCAGGCCGCCTCTCTGCAGATATCCTCACTGATTGACTCTGCAGACTTCATGGCTATTCCAATGCTAATTCAAACTTTCTAATTGCAACATTCACCCTTCCTTCAAGCAGACAAGGTTTCTTTCTCCCACCCTGGATATTATTCCACAGGAATATATACACTACTCCACTTGCTTCACTGCCAAGAGAACCTCTGAAGGTGCCTTTAGGCACAGATGCAGGGGAAACGTCAGAAGAGAATGCTGCTGGAACATGATTAGACAAGCCCAAAAATGTACAGCAACCCAGTGATTCTGGCCATGAAAGCCTTCAACAAGACATTATTAAAAACATGCCTCGTTAATAGATATTTATCCCCCAGCGGTCAGTTAAAGGTCTGCTAAAGAGTACAACATCTGCAAAAACTGTCAATGTAAGATTAATGTAATGTGAATTTTTAAATGTAATTTTGTGCAATGCCTGTGAATGTAACCGGATTTCTTTGCCAGAGAGTATATTGACAGTGAAAGGGTTAAACAGTCAAGCATTTAATGAACTGTGAAGATGTGACCCTGAGTTTGCCTTGAACGTGTAGGGAGGATCCAGAGATAAGGCTTCGTTCGTCCTTCTTACTTCGATGTGTATTTTGTCTTGTTCCTGTCTGTGTGGTTGGATGTAAATGCGAATGTGTGCTGTATATTTGATCTACTCAGTAAAGCTAAATGTTTGCTTTTACTGAAGTCTCAAAGTGTCCATTCTTCGAAGCTTCAAAGCTTCTGTCGCACTCTGACAAAGGGTTATGGGCCCTGATTTGAAGCTACAACTGGAGCTGTAGTTTGGACTGGAGACTGGAGCCTGCTTCTACGGAGAACTGGCGTGTCTTCAGAGGAAGGCTGATTCCAGGAGAAAACAGAGCTGTGAGCGGGGCATGCTGAACCCAGTTTGATGGTTAGACGCGTGGAGCAGTAAAGCCATAAAGCTGGTAAGCAGAGAGGAGACTGCCAGATGCCACTGAAGGTGTGTTCGTGAGTCAGCGGCTGGGCTTAAATTCAGAGTGTGAGGGTCTCCTGGAGGTGAGAATGGCTGCTTCAAATCCTTTGACTGTAACTGAGAAGCTGAATGACCATAATTACAAACAGTGGCCTGTGTTCATGCAGCATTTGAGATGGATTACAAAAGACTATTTTGGGAACGGAAGTGGATCAAGACAAGAATCAGAGGGGGATATCAAGCCTGATTCTTTGTTTGATGCCAGACCAATTGGTTCATGTACAGAATTTCCATACTGCTCAAGAAGTCTGGGAAGCTCTTCGTAATGTACATCAGCGAGAGAGCACACTTGGTAAAATGATTTGGACCAAAAGATTGTACAGAGCTAAAGTAGATGAAGGAGGAGATGGGAGAATACATGTTAAGAGAATGAAAGAACTGTTTATGGAGTGCCAAACTAGAGGTGTCCAGATTAGCGGTGAACATCAAGCTTATATTATGATGTCTTCTTTGACAAACGAATGGGACCATTTATTGTATTCTTTGCAAGCTGTGCGAGCTCAAGACCTCACACTGGATCTAGTTTGTTCCAGGATTCTGGAGGAGGAAGGCAGATGCTTGTTTGAAAGAGAGCAGCATGGAGGCTGCAAGTATGAGGGGGAGTCGCCACCGACAGAGCTGAAGAAGGAGCCTCTTCTTGCAAGTGTGCGTGTTTCAGCAGCGAGGAGATGCTATCCTTGCAACAAGCCTGGACATCTGGCCAGAGATTGCAGTCAAGAAAAGTCAACCGAGAGGGAGCTACGCCAGAGGGGGCTTCAACAGAGGAAGAGCCCATGGTGGTGAATCATCAAACTTTCCTGGAGCCAGAGTAATGATGGAAGCCACAGGAGGTGCTATAGACAATGCTCTAAGTGAAGATGATACTGAAAGTGACATGAACTGTGCAGAATATGTGAATAAGGACTTCAATGTACCTTTACATGACTCATGTGCACATTTTTCCACAGGGTAATGGGACATGTAAGCTTTCGTGGTCTGGAGAAATTAGCTAATGTATGTCCTGAGTTAAAGATGCTGAAGTGTGATAACTATTTGGACTGTGCGGTGTGTAAACAAGCGAAGGTCAAAGCATATCCTGTGGTAAAAAGAAGTAAGATGAAGGCTAGTAGGCCTTTTGAGGTTGTTCGTGCTGACTTGGCAGGGCCTTTTCCAGAAAGTGAAGGGGGAGCCAAGTCTTTCTTTGTCATAGTAGATAGATTCACCAGATATGGGTTTGTGTACAATTTGAAAAATAAAAGTGATGCTTTCTTAATGTTCAAACCATGGGTGCAGATGGTTGAGAGGACTTTTCCTCACAAAGTGGCTTCTTTGGTCACGGATAGAGGTGGGGAATTTTGTGGCAATGATTTTCAAAATTGGCTTGCAGAGACTGGCATCCAACATAAGACCACCAACCCATATACTCCAGAGGAAAACGGACTAGCCGAAAGACGTCTAGGCATAATTAACAACATGGAGGAGTGCATGTTGAAAGATGCTGAGGCACCCAGTAATCTATGCGGAGAAGCCATCCATACTGCTAATTATGTATTGAATAGAGTGTGGTGTTCAGCAATAGAACAGACCCCATTCTTTGCCTTGTATGGTAGGTCACCCAATCTAAAGCATCTAAGGATATCGGGCAATTTGTATATGTACTAATTCCAGCCCAACAGAGAAGGAAGGGGTCAACAAAAATGTCAGAAGTTGTGTTTTACTGGGTATGAAGGAAATAAATATCATTTTTACGCAGGGAATGGAAGAATAATCCTTTCCAGGAGTGCTAATTTTGAAACGCATAGTGGATGGGAAAAGATACACTGTGATAAAGAAGTGTTTATTCAATTTGGTCAAAAAGATGAGGAAACTAGAGATACAAGTGTGAATGTTGAAGGAGAGGATTCGTTATTGGATAGTGAGGAAGTGCCAAATGTTCCTTCGCCACGTTCTAGACTTAAGGATAAAAAGAAGAAAGGGAGACCTGAATCTAGTGATGAAGAAACTAGTGGTGCTGAGAGCATAGTTTTGAAAAGGAGCAGAAGGGTCAGAAAGCCACCAGATTGATATGGCAAGCCAGTGCTTTATCAGGCTACAGGAAATTTGTTACTAGATGAGGAGCCTGAATGTTACAAACAAGCTATTGAAAGTGTTGATGCAGAGGAATGGAAAGCAGCTATAGACAATGAATATAATTCCATGATGCAACAAGTGTTTGAAATTGTAGATAGACCTAAGGATCAAAAGATAGTGGATTGTAGATGGGTTTACAAAAGAAAGGTGCTTGCTGATGGTAGTCAGAAATATAAAGACAGGTTAGTTGCCAAAGGATTCACACAAGTAAAGTTTGAAAATTATGGTAAAACCTTTGCTCCCACTGCAAGACCAGAAAGCCTAAGATTAATGTTAACACTGGCAGCTAAAAGACAATTAGACATTAGACATGTTGATTTCAAAACTGCTTATCTCAATGCGAATTTAGAAGAAAACATTTATATGGAGCAAGCACCAGGTTTTAGATCTAGAGCTGAGAATAAAGTCTGCCTTCTTCATAAAGCCATTTATGGTTTACGACAGTCAGCTCGGTGCTGGAAGAACTGTGTCGTCTTGGATTCAAAAGAAGCATCGCTGATGTGTGTGGATATCCTAGGGGTGTTAATGATGAATGTATTGGTCTTCTGCTTTACGTAGATGATGTCTGTGTCCTGGCTAAAGGTTTGGATAGAGTCGCCAAAGTGCAAAAAGAACTGGAAAGAAAATTCAAAATAAAAGACCTAGGGAATCTGAAAAACTATGTGGGCCTAGAAGTGGATAGAACAGAAGACAGAAAAATAATTCGAAGTCAGAAGGCAAAGATAAAGCAATTGGTTGAAAAATGTGGTCTCACTGATGCCAAAACTATATCTACACCCATGGTAGACTATGTAAATCAAGAGTCTCAAAAGTTATTTGAACGACCTGATATTTATCATTCTGCAATTGTGAGTCTAATGTATATCGCTAATCATACTAGGCCTGATATCAGCTATGCTGTGGGTTGTCTTAGTAGAAGAGTTGCTAAACCCAGAGATATAGATTGGGTTGCACTAAAAAGAGTAATAAGATATCTTAAGAGTACCATCGATTATTGTTTAGTATTTGGAAACAGTGAAGAAAATATTGATTGCTTTGCGTTCATTTGCTACTGAACAAGAGTGTAGATCTGTCTCGGGTATAATTGTGAAATTTGCTGGCAATATGTTAGTATGGCGGTCCCGTAAGCAGAATTGTACGGTGCATAGTACCACTGAATCAGAATATGCTGCTTTGTGTGAAGTCATAAATGAGGTGTCTTCCATATTAATATATTGATTTATAATAGTTTAATATACATTAAATATTATTTTACATTTTATTATATTTAATATGAGTGTCTGCCATACTAATTCATTTTTATTTCTTATTTATAATATTTTAATAATTAGTGCCTTTCATATTTAATATCATACATTAAATATTACTTTAAATCATATTATATTTAATATTAGTGTTACCCATATTGATATATTTTTAAATATATTATTTATGATACCGTAAAGTATAATTTTAAACATTATATTTAATATTAGTGTCTCCCATATTATATTATTTTTATTTACAATATTTTT